AAGTCTGAAAGTAGGGCAGCTTGGTGATGCACGAAAGGATTGATAAGGCCAGCTTCTTTCTGGAAGTCACTGGAAAAATTCCCAGAGAGCAGAATCACCTGGAAACCCCTTAATGAAATCAACATCAGACCAACATAAGAAATGGGGAGGTCCTGCCCAGTGGAAAAAACCAACAAAATAAAACCCCTTCATGAACGAAACATCCCCATGGAATCCCATGTGCTGTGTCACAAGAGTCTTTTCAGCATCACAGCAGATGCCAAGTTACAGGCAGCTTTATTAGCAACATGCAACAAAACTTGCAGAATGGTTGTAGATACAAAGCTGAACTTTGTAATAACAGTTCAAAGTCACAGCAGAAGTCTGAAGGCAGGAATCCAAGGAAGACAACAGTTGTTTGAATACCTTTAGGCAGATAGGTGAAGCAGTCCGAAAACAAAATATCAAAGTTGATTAAAGTCACTTCCTAAAGGCATCAACATATTTGCAGTTCTTGGTAGCAAATCTGTTCCATTATTTTACTTTATAGACACTGTAAACAAGGAAGAGGTCAACTAGGCAAAAAGAAAACTTGCAGTGCCTCATTCACTGCACAACACTTCTGTGGAGGGAGGGACAAACAAAGCTTGTTCTGGCTAAATGTCAGACCCAGAGGTCAGTATGGCTAAATTTACTGGTACCCGTAACTTTGGGGTTAAGATGTGATGAGGAATAAAGACTGTGCATCGACTCAGGTATCTCCTCCAACATATATTTAACAAAACTGTTTATTCATTCTTGGAAGGATTTATAAACCTGCGTTAACATGACTGCAGATGTTCAGCTGTTTTCTGACTGGGTGTGAATTATCAAAAAAACAAATATAAGCAGCTGAGAAGAGTTCCCAGAACCAACCAGGAGATTAAGCAGCAGAGGAATAACTTGCATCACAATGGGAGATGAAGTCATGGAAGTACACAAATGTGAGCTTCCATGCACTTTATGATATTCCAGAGGGTAATGAGAATTCCTAATAAAGACAGCAAACAGAAAGCTAATGCCCACTCTATGTTGAAATATCTCAGTTTTTGATGGACCAATCCTCAAATTTCTCTCTTTAACCTCTTCAAAGAGGAGAGAGCTCTTAAAGTAGAAAAAGCAGAGCAAAATCGGAATTAAAGACAGTATCAGAACCTAGTTAGGCAGGGAACAGGAGGGTCTTCTCAAGAGCGTTATGCCCCTGTTTTGGAAGAGCTCACTGTTTCTTGCACATCATCCCACAGCAGTCTAGGCTGTTGAGCCTCATGCGCTACTGTCCCCAACGGGTCATGCTCAGAAGACACAGTGGACTGAACGAGTAAGAAAGGCTTTGGAAAATCTAAAGAAACTACGAAGTTGTTTGCTTCAACAGAAGATGAGGTTGTAAGGGCTACGGGGGAGGCATTCCACAGAGTAGTTTGACCATCAGAGTGCATAACTGATCTGACGTACACATTAATAGTAACTGCTACCAGCATATTAAGTTAACACAAGATGAATTTACCTGAAAGGCACCCGGCCTTGTGCTTGTGTTCTGTGATCTAGGAGAGTCCTGCGTGGAAATGTCAGGTTTAAACTCTTTCAACTTCTGTAGCTGTTCTTTTTGCTCTCTGCACATGAATCACAAGAAAGTGTTATCAGTCTGTAGCTTAAATGAAAAATTAAAGAAATCAATGTTCACAGTGAAAACCACGTATTACACTAGCATTACGGGCCAAGTCCAAAGAAGAAAAGGACACAGCAGGCTTTATGTGGTCAACGCTATGATTCAGAAATCCCTGTTTCACATTCACCTAACCATGGAGGTATTTAATATATTAGCTGCCTCCTTTTTGATCACAAGTTTCCTCTGCAACTTGCAGTTATGCTTTTGTGCTTGGCCAGAACCACTTCCCTTTGACAGTAAAGAGAAAAGCTAGATTTTAGCCTCTGAACACCTTCTGCAAACCAGAAGCCCAGTGGAGATGCCTGCCTAAGTGCTCTCAGTGACTTGCTCTGGGTTGCACACTAACAGGATTGAGACCAACACAAAGCACAACAGAGACTCCAACATTTAAAAACAAAGCAGTGATGTTAGCTTTTGTTTCCTTGTTTTATGTATCAAAATGCTACCTAGTCTATGGAGCAGAGACCAGGACCAGTAGTGAATACCAAAACCATTGGATCTATCAAGATCTATCTATTCAATATGATTTCCTTTCAGTTTTGTTTGCATCTTTTTTATCTAGTTTTTTTATTGTTAATAACTCTTTGTTCATATTAATTGCATGTACTAAAGTAGTGCCCAAAGAACAACTAAGAACGGGATCCCTCTGTACTAGGCACAACAGAGGCCACTGACTAGCAACCCATCTGTTCAGTGTCCAGTGCAAGGGGAACTTGGCTCACAGAAAGGGATCCAAAGTGCTGCATTAGTACAAAGAGTAAACCGAGCAACTGCTAGCACTTAAAAGGTCTTCTTTACACCTGGCTTAGGAAAAATACATCAGATGACAAATACAGAACAGCATGCAGCTCGGAGTATGCTGTTTTATACCAATAAAAGGAAAGCCAGATGAAGGCTTTACCTTTGGAGATGAAAGCAGTTATCCACCACACAACTGGTGTGTCGTGGTTTAACCCTAGCCAGCAACTGAACACCACACAGCTGCTCGCTCACTCCCCTGCTTCGGTGGGATGGGCAAGAGAATCGGGAGAGTAGAAGTGAGAAAACTTGTGGGTTGAGATAAAGACAGTTTAATAATTGAAATAAACTAAATTAAAATAGTAGTAGTAATAATAATAATAAAAGAATATACAAAGCAAGTGATGCACAATGCAATTGCTCACCACCCACCGACCGATGCCCAACCAGTTCCCAAGCAGCGATCGCTGCGCTCCGGCCAACTCCCCCCGATTTGTATACTGAGCATGACATCATATGGTACGGAATACCCCTTTGGCCAGTTTGGGTCAGCTCTCCCAGGTGTGCCCCCTCCCAGGTTCTCGCTGGCAGGGGGCTGAAAAGTCCTTGACTAGATAAGTACTCCTTAGCAACAACTAAAATATCAGTGTGTTATCAACATTATTCTCATACTAAATCCAAAACACAGCACTATACCAGCTACTAGGAAGAAAATTAATACTATCCCAGCCGAAAACAGGACATGGTATAATTCTTGGCTCAAAAAAAATATCATAAGCAGTCTCCTTAAAGTTGTTCCTACTGTTCAGACTGGGGTCACCTGCTTATAAGAACCTGATGAGAAGTACCAGTGTAACTCATTTTTAAGATTATCCTCATATTAAATTAAAAATCAGTATCAGTAGTGTCATGTTTATACTTTCCCTTTTTACTGGCTTAGAAAGAGGTATATGTATCTACCTTCTTACATAAAATGTTTCAGTTTCTGTGTTTAAATATTTCAGCCCTAATAAATTATTCACTTAGGCAGTGATTCCCAAACTATCGCCCTTAGAGTAAGTCCACTGGCTTGCAGCTACTCACATTAAACAGCAAAACATATGCCTGGCAACCTGAGGCAATGGGAAAGTCAGGAAGCTGAAAATGATCTGTTGCTCTGAACTTTTGGCAAATATTGCTTTATAACACAGATTTCACAGCTACTAACACCTGTTGAATTAATCTAACTGCAGTGAAAGATTAAATTATTCAGAATAAAAGTTCTCCCTTCCTTTTTAAAAATTATTTTTCTTGCATTTTGGCATGCAACTAAGGCCTTCCATATGGGAGAGATGCTTAGCAATCTTATGAGTCTGAAAACAAAATGGCTTCAAGAAAAGTGCAAAACATCTCTGTATCTTTCAACACCGTTTAATGTAAATGTAATAATGATAACCAAACATTCATTTTAATTGCCCATTATTTTAGCATGGTATCTTATTTATAAAATTAAACCCCTGTCTTTACTAGGCACCAATCTTTAGCTATCTCTCAGTAACTCATGAATAGGATTAACCACATGAACCTCTGTCTCTAAGATGCTTCCTCTTTTCTCTACAATCTGCTCTGAAAGATCTCATTCACTGAAATTAGTCAAAGAAACTAATCTTTCTGGTTTGTTTTTTTTTTTTTAAATACATTTAATGCACCTAAACCCATGCAGCAAATCACAAAGATAGCATTTGGATAGATGGTATGTGCTCCATTCATTCCAATATTACTAAATTTACTGAGCCCTAGGATGTTTCTGATGTTTAAAAGGATATTCTATTACTTACTTTGAAATAAACACCTATTAAAGCCTTACGGAGTCTAAGCTGCTTTCTAAAATGTGGTCTTGGTGAACTCTTGCATTTATATCCTCCTGATTTTTATCACTGCTGTTATCCTGATCCTCAGAACTAAGATCAACCAAACTTGACAAAATTATTCACTGACGATGCTGGATTTCAAATGAGGGAGCATTGCAAAAAGAAAAAACCCGCATATGCTTTAATTAAAAAGTAAGCAGTATCCAAAAATTAAATAGGTCCCATTGTGTGAATTAAGAACCACATTAACATAGATCTTGACAGGTAAGTATTAAAAGCAATTATCAACGAGCTCATCTGACACTAATAAAAAGACTGAAAAGCAATTATCAACAAGCTCATTTGAGGATAACAAAAAGATTGGTCAGGTGACGTCAACAGATCTCTTCCTGGAAAGTAACATAGAGGGAACGCCATATTCATGGGGAAAGGGACAGCCACCTATTTAAGAAAAAACCAAAAGCTGTGATGGAGGTACTCCAAATAACTTGTTCCACATGAGCTCCTACTATCATGCTGTGGCAAAAAGAAATGAAGCCATTACTGCCTCAGTCAAGGAATTAATTAGGAAAGGAGCACCATCTCCACAGAATGGGATTCCCACGCAAAGTGACAGAACTGGGCAACTCACCGAAGCATTTTGAGCTCCTGCGCAGCCTTCAGAATTATCTCATGCTGTCTTTGGCTAAGGACCATCACTCCTCCCAAAGACTGGTCAGAGTCCAGGTTTGAATCTGCTCCCAGCATATCAGAGGAATGTGAAGGCGGAGGAAGGGATGAATCTGAATGATCATCCAAAGACCGCAGTCTGTCTCCATCATCTGGATACCACCTATCTGACAACCGTTCCCTCTCCCAATCAGTCCTTTCAGGAAGGTAGTCTTGCTTCTCCCGCCATGTGTCATATCTCTCTGGATACTCTCGAATCCTCAGCTCCCCCCTGTCTCGGAGGTCTCTGTCATAATGATCTCTGTTCCTATCCTCCCTCCACCTATCTTCACGGTATCTGTCCAGAGGCGGAAGAGGTGGTAATGGTGGTAGAGGGGGGATATCCAGGTCACGATTCCCCATTGCTCTGTCGTCCATAGGTCTCATGTCCCAGTCTCTATCCCATTCTCTGTCTAAATCTTGATCATAAATGTCTGAGGATCTTCCAGTCCTATCTAGATCTCTCTCTAGTTCCCTCTCTCTTGGCCTTTTCCAGTCATCCCACCATGAATCTCGTCTGTCATGATCAGATGATAAAGGAGGTAGTGGTGGTAGGGGAGATAATGGAGGCAATGAATGGTGGGATTGCAACCTGTCATCTCTGTCATATGCATCTACAGAATCATCCTGATAATCAGAATTGTGATCTCTCCAGTATCGTTCTCTTTCCCAGTCATCCAATCGTTCATGCTCCAAAGAAGGGTCATCTTGACTATCTAAAGGAAATTCCTCCTGCATTCTATCATCTTCATGACCCCAAGAACCCCTGAGTGTCTCATCTCGATGGTATGGAGGCAATTTGTCAGGGTCATCTCCTAGGTGAATGGGTTTATCTATATTGCCTGTTTCAGATCTTCCTGCTTCCCTCTCTCGGCTACCTGCCCTCCTGATAGGACCCCTCTCCCGGCTACCTGCCCGCCTGACGGGGACTCTCTCGCGGCTACCTGCCCGCCTGACGGG